GTGCCGTCAGTCACAGCATAGCACACGCAGTCAGCAAGCGGAAGCTGCATGCCTACAAACTTAAAGAGCATTGACAGCACGGAATTCCAACCTTGGGGGGGGGGTGCCCTGGCAGCCATTTCAAAGCCACTTTTGTAGCCGATGGCACGTTTGCTCAGCGGCTACTCAGCATAGCTGTCAAGGTAGACCATGCCCGAGAGCACCTGCTTGTGATACTGAAGTCAGGAGCACCAGCAGACTGCTCATTAAAGTGTCCGAATCTGCGAGGGTGGACGTGACTTTCTCGACCCAATCTACCTTCAGAACGGGTGTCAACACAACAGTGCAGTTCCTCCATCACTCCGATAACGATGTTTGCCTCCTAAACGATACAGTGTACTCCGATCAAAGTGTTTTCAACCGAAAATCATATCCACCTAGATGCACATAGCTTGGGTCATGCTCCCAGGAGAAGCCATGTTTGCCTGAACATGATCATGCCGCAGCTGTGCAAACACCTTAATCCAGGCATATCCACCACGCCGATCCAAGTATGGAGTATTGGTTGGCTGTATCCTGGGTAACCTGGCAACTTGATACACCCGCACACACACACTCTCCCACACGCAGGCACGCGGGCACGCGGGCACGCGAGCACGCAGGCACGCACGCACCCACGCACGCTCGCAGACACAAACACACACACACACACACAGATAGAGACATACAGCAACACACAGGAACACACAGACACAAACACTAACACATACACACAAAACACACCACAGACACAAAACACGAAAAAAAAAAAAAAACACACACACACACACAAACACACACACACACACACACACACACACACACACACACACACACACACACACACACACACACACACACACTCACACACACACTCACACCCACACACACACACACACACACACACACACACACACACACACACACACACACACACACACACACACACACACTTAAACTCCAGATGGAGGGTGCTAATCTTTCGAGTACAACTGATGAGTCTCGAGTACAACTGATGAGTCTCGAGTACAACTGATGAGTTTCTCATCGTTCGAGTACAACTGGTGAGTCTCGAGTACAGCTGGGGTTCATCTGGTTTTGGAGAAAAGGGCAAAAAGGGGACCTTTGTTTGGGGTGGCCATGACAATGGCCCAGGCGCAGCCCTGCAGGTACGTTTGGACCCGGGCACCGGGGGGCGTCTTCGTTGGCTGGAGACCCCCCGGGCCGGCTCCAGCCCCCTGCTACTAATAGTGGTGACAGGGCATTCTGTCACTCCGCACACACACGCCCCTCAGTGAGGGGCGAGAAGTCTCTTTTTCAGCAGGAAGATCACATGCTCAACTTTGTGTCCTTATCGTTTGCCCAAGCTCAGCAGCGGCACCCCCCCACAGCGCCCTGCAAGTCCCAGCGTCTTACGTCAAGCTGCACCCCCCCGCCACAGCACCACGGATGCTACAGACAACTCTAGTACCAGGACATTCGCAGGATTGCTCTATCCCTCCATCCATTGGCACTTTCCATAGCAAGCCGAGACAGGTGGGCAACCGAGTGTCAAGGAACACGATTTGAGCCAAAATGGCCCCCCACGAGTAACCAGTGAGTGTGTGAGTGGACATGTCAACTGTACTTGGCCCCATGACATCAGAGCCCAACCATGCAAGCATCGCAGACTCAAGAATAGATCCAGGAACCACAAGTGAACCAGGTATTACCTCGGAGTCCCTACCCCCTGGCATCGGTCCACATGTCAAGCTCTCTAACACTGCTTCTTGACAAGACACCCTTCTTCACTTGAAGTTAAACCCCCTATAGCTTCCAGCTATCCATGGATCACATGCAAATGCCACAGTTCTTGCAAGTTCTTTTTTTTGTGTTTTTTAAGGGGTATGACTCGGGGTATGGCTCGGGGGTATGGTTCGGGGTATGATTCGGGGGTATGGCTCGCCCAAGCCCCACCTCCCACGAAGACTAAAGAACTGACACGGTAAAAAAACACAGACCCATATGAGACCGGCTGGGAAACAGAGCCCATATTGGTGCCGCCCGTGCTGTCCCTAGGCCAACACACGTCGAAGTGGTAGACTTTGCGCCATTCCCGATAGGTGGTTGCGTCCTCCGGGGCAGGTCCCAAGGTGTTTTCGGCAACTGGTTGCCACGGACCAGGTACATAGACCCGAATCCATTCAACGCTTGTGCTGGCAGGGCCATTGACGATGTCGTACTCAAAGAAGCGTGGCAGGGTCCATCTTGCAGTGCCATATATTGTAGAATTGAACATATCAACCAGGGAAGCCGCTAGGAGGCAAAAGGGAAGCGGCGAAAACATGGAACCGGAAAGCACAACACAATCCAAGACAACCCAACATGAAGCCGCAATCAAATCAGGCACAATCGCATCATTTTAACCGACATGTTGCTCAAGCATCAATCCGATTCGTTCCAAGGATCATAGAATGGTGGTGGTGAAGGTTCCCGCCACGCCCCATCCGGAACTGAAGACTCCAACGAGGAAGTAGCTTCTTCATTCACGAGCGCCGCCGATCCAATGGCTGGTAGTGGAGCGCCAAGGCGTTGATAACCTCGTGTTTCCCAGTCTCGGTACTCCCACACGTGGTATGACACATACGAACTGGGCGTGACATTGGGGTCCGCAGCTGTTCCTCCGGCGCTGTCTTCGGGCAAGTACACGTCAAAGTGATATGACTTGCGCCACTCCCGATACGTGGAAGCGTAGTCTGGGGCACGAACCAGAGTATCTGTGGCTACGGGTTGCCACGTGCCCGGTGTGTAAATTCGAATCCATTCCACTCCTCTCTCGATGTGGTACTCAAAATAGTGAGGGTTCATAGCGGCAAAACTGGTCGTCGCAGGGCCGCTGAAAGAAATCGCAAATCCACTGAATCTGCGGCGAAAACACTCATGCCATGACAACCTGACGCAATGAGAATGTGTTGAACAACGCAATGCAAGACAACTTTTCAAACTGAAGGCGGGACAAATCCACAAGGTCTACAGTATACGACACCTATGCTTCACCGCCGCTGATGCCGCACACACCTGCAATGGTAATGTCCTGGTCGGCGACGAGCACAGGGAGAAAGACACTTCCGTCCATGATGTAGAAAGGCATGTGTTGAGCAACGCAATGCAAGGCAACTTTTCAAACTGAAGGCGGGACGAATCCACAAGGTTCATAGTATACGACACCTATGCTTCACCGCCGCTGATACCGCACACACCTGCAATGGTAATGTCCTGGTCGGCGACGAGCACAGGGAGAAAGACACTTCCGTCCATGATGTAGAAAGGCATGTGTTGAGCAACGCAATGCAAGGTAACTTTTCAAACTAAGGCGGGTCGAATCCCATGCTTCACCGCCGCTGATGCCGCACACTCCTGCAATGGTAATGTCCTGGTCGGCGACGAGCACAGGGAGAAAGACACTTCCGTCCATGATGTAGAAAGTATGTGTTGAGCAACGCAATGCAAGGCAACTTTTCAAACTGAAGGCGGGACGAATCCACAAGGTCTATAGTATACGACACCTATGCTTCACCGCCGCTGATGCCGCACACACCTGCAATGGTAATGTTGGTCGGCGACGAGCACAGGGAGAAAGACACTTCCGTCCATGATGTAGAAAGGCATGTGTTGAGCAACGCAATGCAAGGCAACTTTTCAAACTGAAGGCGGGACGAACCCACAAGTTCTATAGTATACGACACCTATGCTTCACCGCCGCTGATTCCGCACACACCTGCAATGGTAATGTCCTGGTCGGCGACGAGCACAGGGAGAAAGACACTTCCGTCCATGATGTAGAAAGGCATGTGTTGAGCAACGCAATACAAGGCAACTTTTCAAACTGAAGGCGGGACGAATCCACAAGGTCTACAGTATACGACACCTATGCTTCACCGCCGCTGATGCCGCACACACCTGCAATGGTAATGTCCTGGTCGGCGACGAGCACAGGGAGAAAGAAACTTCCGTCCATGATGTAGAAAGGCATGTGTTGAGCAACGCAATGCAAGGCAACTTTTCAAACTGAAGGCGGGACGAATCCACAA